TATATATTTAAAACACCCTTAGGGTAAAAGTCAAACTCCTTAATCACTCATTGATTCACAGAAAAATTTAATACCTATTATGTACCAGGCACTGTGTGGGTACTTAGCGTATGCAAAAGCTTTCCAGGATCATATTTCTTTCCTGGTTCATCTTCTAGCATCTCCCTAGTCAGATCCTGGGAGTAAACTCATCATTCAGAACTACAAATTCTTCTTGAAAGCAGAATGTACTTTCATACTTACAGGCCTCTGCATGTCATGGTACTTTGGTATGAAATGCCCTTCTTTCTTTGTCCTTCAAAATGTATCTCCTTCTTTGTAAGAACTTTCTTGCACTGCCACCGTCTCTGGGCAGATATAGAAACTTTTTCTTTGATGCCCATATAACCATGCTTTCTATACTTAAATGCTCATTTTAATCATAATTGTAACTGTTTCCATGCATTACTTTCCTAATAGACTGTGAAGGCCAGGGGTGTTATCTTTTCATCTCACTATCCCCAGGAATTTACACAGCGTCTTACAAGTAGTGAATGCCCAGTTAATGTCTTCTGAAGAAGTTGCAGAATGGCCACCTGCTGCTTTACACGGGCAATAAATTGATGATGCTTTTGTGATCCAAACCCCATTGTATGTCATGGTTACTTGTAAAATTGTCTTCTTTCCCTTTCATTTAGATAGTAAGCCCCTGTAAGGCAGGGAGTTCTCTCTCCTGTGGTACCTAGTAAAAGACTTTGCACATAGTAAGCACTTAGTCTATAACGGTTGAATTGAATTTTAAAATCACTCCAGTAAATTTCCCTGTAGTCTGTTTGAACTTCCAACATGATGACTTCATTGCTGTATGCTCATTAAAGAGGTATAGAGAAAGAATTGCAGAACTTCCTAGGGAAATCATTTCTCCTCTTCCTGTTCTCCTCTGGCTTCTCGCCCACTCTGATTGACTAAGCATTAGGATTGAGAAGAGAAGGGGCACAAAACTGTGGGAGGAAAATGCGTAATATGTAATAGAGGCCCCACAGAAATAAAAAGTCAGTTGGATTTTTTAATGGCAGAAAGAGACTGCAGAAAATTGTTGGAAATACTAATTCAAGGAGCATCTTGGGTGAGAGGAGACAGAAACAGAGGAATGTGTTAGGGGGAGGGGAAGGAAGCAGTGAAAGTGAGGCAGTTTTGACAGTCTGTGGTGGATACTCTCTCTGGTATGACTAATTGAGAATTGATTGTGCATGCAGAAAGGTTATGTTTTATTAAGGGAAACCTTTTTCCCTTTTGTCTTTATGAAATCCGCTCTTCTGTAGATATTACTCTCTTCCCATACTAAACCCTCATTAATTTATAATTCACCACATTTGCTTTAAAAGTGCTGTGCAGATTTCCTGTTTCTCTCACATACAGTGCTTCTAATAGAGAAAGTCAAGTAGGAAAGAAGTTGAAATGCTACTTGTCTTGAGGGCTGCATGCCAGACCTGCTGGTGCCAAAACATTTCACCGAGTGTGTCTTAGATCATTGTAAATGTTTCCAAGTACCATTTTGCAAGCTCCATGAAAGTGAATCTGGGCTCTAAAACAAGTCTTTTACTGTTGACTATAAATTGACTCTGGTTTCTAGAACCTAAAGTCAAAGCTAAGTGGAGTCTTCTAGTAGGGCTCTGTTAATTTCAAGGACAGGTACCCTCATACAGAGAGGGGCACCCTCTCACCAAATGCAGACTCTGAGGGCAGAGGCAATAGAAATGGAGAGAAGAAAATTAATCTCCCTCCACCATCCTAACAGTTCTCTCTGCCAATAGATTTGACAGAACCTGGGAAACCAGTGCATATAGAAGTGTAGAAGAAGTGAAAAGTTTTTAAATGCCCAACATGCCATTAGTGAAGATATAATTAAAGAAAGAGTAGGTTTAACATCAGATTTCATTGAATCCCACTTTATACATATAGAGAAAATAAGACAATTTGACAACTTAGACAATTTTTAAAAATTTAAACATCTTGAATATGAAATGCCTAAGAGATATATATGGATATAGCTATAGATAGAGAACTCAGGTTTTTATTTAAAGACTTCAAGTAAGTTAGGAGTGTGTGTGTGTGTGTGTGTGTGTGTGTGTGTGTGTATGTGTGTGTTGGGGTGGGTATATTAGCATGGACTATCATGCAGGAGTTAAAATCTCACCTAACCCATAGATTCTGGGAAGAGAACATAAGTAAAGCAAGCTAGGTGGAGATTGACAGAAATGTGTGCCTGGACTAAAGAGACAGTAGCTATTCATCTCTGGTTGATCACTGCCAAACAAGAATACAGGCCTGGTGTAACCAGATCTTATTTTTCTCCCAAAAGTATGACTACTTTTTGGTCATACAATCTTACATGAATATCTGCAACTAGCCAAACATTGACATTTTGTGATGGTCAAATAAAACACGTACAGGAGACAAATTTAGCTGTAAGTTATTGACCTCTGGATTGCACTTTTATTTATTGGGGAATAGAAACTTCAGGTTAAGCAATTCAAGAGTAGTATATCCCATTAAATAATGAGATTTTAAATTAAATAGAATAAGGTGTTTGTTGACAAATTTGTAAATGTAGAAGGGGAGAGATCAGTGTTGGCTGAGGTTAAACAGAATTATGTGAAGAAGTGGGATGTCATCTGAATCTTGAAGAGTGGATGGCTATCAGTGGCAATAAGCAAGGGAGAAAGCATCTGAAGCAAGGAGCCAAGAGATGGTAATTTGGGGACAGTGAATGGATTATACTAAATAAGAACAAAGAAAGGACTAAACCATTTTTCTTTTTTTTTTTAATTTTCTTTTTTAAAATTTACATCCAAATGAGTTAGCATATAGTGCAACAATGATTTCAGGAGTAGAT